GGGAAAATATAGTACATGCTAAGAAAAAACAGTTCGTTTTTATGTATGGTTTTGCATCGAGCTTATTTAGTAGGATCACACTTGATTAAAACTTTTCAAAGTACGAGTATGAACAAATGTCTTAATTCTTGATTGACTTTTTGAGCTTGAACCAGTTTATTTATTACTCTATTATGGAGTATTTCTTGAATTTTCAACCATTCCAAGTTTATTGTCTTTGTCCATATTTCTTTCCCTGCTGTTTTCTTGGTCCCAAACGTACCCTCAATTTATTTTAGTGTAAATTTTTACTACAACATATGATCACATTGTGTTGCATTACATCTTACCAAAGGATACATTACTTCTTATACTAATTCCTTTTTTATAATGATGCCTCAGGCGGAAACGGTTCCTTTGGCTCAAGAGTAAGAAGGGTGAAATGATGGGGAGATGGGAGTCAGATCAAGTTTACTTGCTTTGTTTGAATAAGAACTGTGTGATTGTGGTTGTGGTAAATTGTAAAATGGATTTTATATCTGGTATAGTATTATTGATTGCATTTAGCCCTCAGTGCTCAAGGGTTTCATTTGAATTCTCATTTGTGAAAATTTGAGAAACTAAAATATATTAATTCTTGGTTGATTTTGTTTTGCCCTTGTTTCTTCTCTTTCTGTTTTTTAACGTCAATGTCATTTTAAAGCAAGAAACGAGTGAAAAAAACTGTGTTTGATCTTTAGGGAGTGTTTGCAACAGCTTCTGCTTTAAAAAAAAGCACTTTTGGAGTGATTTGGAAAAAGTGATTATTTGTAAAAGTTGATAATGTTTGAGAAAAAAGTGATTTTGAAAAGTAAAAGTTGGTAGTGTTTGGTAAAATAAGTGCTTTTGGTGTATAAAAAGTGAAAAAGCACTTTTGACACGAAAGCCGAGAAAAATAAAAAATTGGTAGTGTTTGGTAAATAAGTGCTTTTTTAAGCCAAAAGCTGAGAAGTGCTTTTTTTAAAGTGGTTGCAAACCAGCCTTTAATGTTTAGCATTGCTAGACTGGTAAAAAAAAAAGCATTGCTAGAGAAAATCCATTTATCCTTCTTTTGTTTTGAAACTATAGACAAGATTATAACCATAACACTCGCACATGATAATAAACGTCTAAGGATGTTTTTACTTACACTCTAATTTGCTGGTCTGGTCTGGTAAAGTCTGGTTTCTTTGTATTTTTATAATTATCCAAATCTGGTCTGCGACAAATTAAAACGTCCTAAAAAAGAGTAAAAGTGACCTTTTGAAAAATAAAGCCAAAGATGGTGTCTAGACACATACATACATACTCCCGTACTACTCCATACATAAACACAAAGATGGTGTCTAGAACTTTGCACTTTCACTTAATTAAAATTAGGGCAACATACTTTTATAGTTTATGGGTTTCTTACAGCCAAAAAGGGATTTTTTTCATAAATAGCCTAAAAATTTAAAGTAATATCACTTTTTCATCTTTTAAAATACTTTTCAATAGTAGCTTGAGGCACCCTAATCCATACTAAATCCAATTACGGGAATCTACCATATGCTTCGGTGACTCAAGTTAGAGGAAATGGAATCCACGTCATCAATCTGAACAAGTCTGGTCTAATCTGGTAAACGTCTGGTCTTTGTGTATTTTATAATTACGAAAGTCAAATCTGGTCTGGTCTGTTTAAGTCTAGTCTGGTCTGGAATTGAAAACAATCCAAGTAAAAACATCCTAAGTAGACATTATATCTCTAAATGCATTCAATTTTAAAAATATGTAAATCTAGTAGAAAATAATTTTTTTAAAATATATAGATTAAAATATTTTAAATCTTATAAATTATAAAAAAAAAATCAGATTTAAATAGAATAAAATAGTTTGAAAATATTTAACAAGCACATGTATGGTTCCCAACATGTAGTCAAATAAAATGTACCTGGAAAAAATGTGAAAAATCATTGAAAATTAAGACAGATGATAATACTTAGATAAACAAACAAAATTTCAATTAAATAAATGACAGGTGGAAATAAATGGAAAACCTCAAAGTGAAAAAGATATAAAAAGGTGTATTAATAGTGCGAAATTGAAGAGTTATAAAAAATGAAAAAAAAAATGTATTGAATTTTTAAAAACTTAATCGGAAAAAGGTAAAACAAAACATATATGAAATTTGGAAATAAATAGATTGAAAATGAAAATGTAAATTTTAACACAGTTGAAAATGTGGAAAATAGTGAAGAAGTAAAAAATACTAATTTTATTATATAATTTATTAAATATTTAATATAATTTATATAAAAATATAACCGGTGAAAAATTTAACAAAAAACGTATTGAAAAGTTTAAAATAGTAAAAAAATCTAAAAACCGAAAAACTATAAACAAAATGTGTAAAATAAAATAAAAGTGTTTTGAATCCACTAATAAATTATAGAAAAATATTTCAAATTTAAAATAAAATAAAAAATGATTAGAAAACTTAAATTTAATATAAAGTTCAAAAATTAGAAAATTTTATGAACAGTAAAATACGTGGTTTAAAAATTAATTAAGAAATACATAATTCGAAAAAATATTTAAAATGTGAAATCGATAAAATGTAACGAAATACAGAATATTATTTTGAAAGTAATTTTATTTAAACTATTCACATTTTAATTTTCTTAAAAGTTAATTAATTTAAAAATATAAATATTTAATTGAAAAAAAAAACTCTCAAATTTACTTTTTAATATTATTATTGCTATTATTGTTGTTGTTTTTATGTTTCCTTTTGTCTTTTATATGGTTATTTTTTGTTGCCTTTTGTTTCTTTTGTTAATGAATTCTCATATTTTGTTTCTTATTGTTTATTTTTGTTTCTTGTGATTTTATTCTATGCAGTTTTGTCACTACTCACTACACACGTGTAAAATGTCTTTGTACCAAAATAGAAAAAAAAAACTTGAAACATAAATACCAAATTAAGAAATGCAATAAAAATCAAACATTGATCAATATCAATAAAAAGTAAAAAAAAAAAGCAACAAAAACAACTAGATGCAACATGAAGCAACACAATAAACAAAATAGAAACAAAAAGGAAAAAATAGCATTCAATATACACATTTAAATTTGTATTTTCATATTAAAAATATCATTACACAATAAATAAGAGAGTACAATCAAACTCATTTTTTAATATACATTTACAAGCTAAGTAACCATTGTTCTAAAACTCGCTAGGCGCTAGTCGGGCGGTTGAGGGCCGTCTAGCGCCTAGGCGGCCGACTAGGCCGATTTTTTGGCCGACTAGGCCGATTTTTTGGCCGACTTGGCCGATTTTTTGACCGACTAGGCCGACTAGTCCTCTACGGTTAGGGCCGACTAGGCCGCCTAGGCCGATTAATCGGTCCGCCTAGACCGATTTTTAGAACAGTGCAAGTAACCTAAAGGAAGTCCTTGCGATGCAGCATTCCATGACATTCTTATACATGCTTTTTAATTGAGCAAGGAGTCATTACAGTCAAAGAGCTCCAGTCATTACAGTTCAAGACTTCAAGTGCTTTGCAAACACATAACCTTGTCAAATCACATTATAGTGGCTGTATAAAAATTTAGCATTGCAATTGAAATGAAGGAACGAGAGATGTATCCAAACTCAACCACCTTACAAACATTTTTGTAGCTTCAAAGCATACGTACTACTTCTTATAAGCAGAGTTGCATAGTACATGAACCACAAATGTCTCTAGCAGCTTTTATTTCAACACATCATAACTAAATCCCTCGAATCAAGGTCAATTAGATCGGTTTCTGGAGCTGGAAGTCTTAAGCTTGCTATTTTCGAGATGCAACTTTTACAAGAGAATCACAATTATCTCTAAACTCGACAAATGGATAAATAAAAGAGTTTCAACATTTATTCACCATCTAAACATGGTATAAAGAAACCCATATTCTATTGCTAGACAAGAAATTATATAAATGAAAACCTTTCATGAAAGGGTGTGCATACAGAATTGGAAAACTATGGCCATCCTTTCATATTTGATAGTTAGTTTGACTGTTTGAGAGTGAAATATCATTACTTTGATGTCAAGGTCTAGAGGTAAATTGAAACAACAAATGTTAAGACATTATGCTATATGCATATGAATTCCCAAATCAACAGTCGATTAACACTAAACAATAATATGCAGAATGGATGTAGAAGAAGAATTATCAAACATAATTCAATGTCGTATATTCATAATGATATGACAAAGAATACATTATATAAGTATGAACTGTTGAGAAAGAATAAAGTGGGAGCTCTAATCTAGAATGATACGTGCAGAATTATAATGTGTAAAACTCTTCTCTCTCTTCTAATGTGAGAGCTTCTAATAATGATGTGGCTATTCTAATTGTGAAACTCTCTCTCTCTCTCTCTCTCTCTCTCTCTCTCTCTACTCTTCTACGAAACTATTCTAGAGAGTTTCTAAATAATAATATATGCGGTTATGTGTACGTAGATCGAAACTCTTAGGTATGTTCGTTCATACTGCCTCTATTTATAGGCATATGGCCGAACAACCTAGTTACAATAGGATGAGCCTGATTAATCTAATTACATGGCTCTTAATAAATTAACAGGCCCATTAATACAATCTTAATTAAATCCAATAGACAATGATAAATATAACTAAATTGAACATAATAAAATATGTTCTAAAAATGCACTTAGCCTATAGCTGCCTAACCCATAAGATCTACAAACTATTTAATAATATAAATATATACTCAAGAGTAATTATTTTTAAAGAATACTTTGTCATATATTTTTTTGCATCGGCCCACGGGCCACTCGTTTAACTTGTGGGTTAGACGGGTTGAGTTAGGGTTGTAGAAATTCTGACCCATCATTAAACGAGTTAGCCCAACCCAACGCATATAAAGCATAACTCATTTCAGGCCGGGTCGGGTTGGATAAGGTCGGGTTAGCCCGTTTGACAGTTCTAATTAGGCCATTAAGTGGGTTGGGCCTGAAAGTTGATGTTCGACAGTGAGCTGTGCTGTTCATAATGCATTGTTAGGGTTTATTACTACTGCCGCGTCTACTCTTTACATACTGGTCAGGCAGGCGGGCAGGCCCTAACAACAGAGAGAGATCGGAGCAACAGAGAGACATCGGAGTAGGAGGAGCAATGGGTATGAACCTTATCTCCGTTCGTCATCTCAACCTTATCTCGATTATTAAGATTTATCAGCTTGATTTATATTTCTTCAATCAAATATGCAGCGAGGATTAAGGTACATGAGCTGAGGCAGAAGTCGAAAGCGGAGCTTTTGGCTCAGCTGAAAGATCTGAAGACGGAGCTCGCTTCTCTCCGAGTCGCCAAGGTCACCGGCGGCGCCCCCAATAAGCTCTCCAAGATGTAAACCTCCTCTTTTATTTTATGTTGATTTGTAAATAACTTTTTGCACAATGATTTCCTATCTAAATTCTGCAAATGTTATTTTTATTACTCATTGATCGATGGTAAAATAAAACATTATGCTGCGCAGTAAGGTGGTGAGGATGTCAATTGCTCAAGTGTTGACTGTGATTTCCCAGACGCAGAAAGCTGCACTAAGGACAGCTTACAAGAACAAGAAGTACTTGCCCCTTGATCTACGTCCCAAGAAGACCAGAGCCATCCGCAGACGCCTCACTAAGCACCAGGTAGTTGCCAAATTACATTCTTACCCCAAAGAACTGCATCTTTAGACTTTAGAGATTAAGGTGTAATCTGTTGAACACTTGTATGGAAAAAGAGAGTAACTCTGTCTTGTTTTTCGTATTTTATCTGAAGAAAATTGTTATTCTGTGTAGTTTATCAAATATGTCTGCTTTATCCTATATACGCAGTATACTGCTATGTCATCCAAATGCTAGATACTTTTCATCCACTTTTTCTGGAAAGAGTTAATTTTCTCGGAATCCCAATTTCCAAAAAAATCAGCTTCAAATTAATTTTGGTTTTAATGACATGTAGTTATCAATAATTTGATCTGATTATACAACAGTCTACAAAGGCGGTCGAGTACAGGGGTGAGTATGCATTAAAATCCATACACTTCAAGTATAGCGAATGTCAAGTAAAAATCCATCTGAGTGCTTGTGGAGACAATTCAAACAACAGTCTTTGTATAATTTACAGAAATTGCATCCGGACCATACACTTCACCATCACATTTATCAAACTCAGATTACACTTATATTTGGACCTAACGTGATATAATATTATAATTCATCCAACTTCAAGTTGAACAACCAATACAAGTTTGACGCATACCACTTGTGGCCTCATAAACCATGTCTCATGAACAATGACATAGTTCTATAATAATTGCTTGTTGCTGTTATATAGAATAGTTGCTCTCTTGGATAAGTAAATAATTTCCAGTGCACATGATTATTCACTACATGAATCGTACAAATTGCGTTATGTGTCCACAAAAAGTTTAAACGGAGTATTGTTTTTAATATCACTATTTCAGCACGAGTAATGTTAGAGGAATATGCTAGGTTTATCACTCCGGCTATCCACTTCATTTGATATTACTATTATATTTTTTCATTACTCTCTACAATTACTGAATTGCTCATAAGAATGTACTGGTGTAGTTTCAATGCTTGAGGGACATTATACTATAACACCCAAGCTAGCCACCTCATTTGAAATTACTATTATATCCTCAATTACTCTATCAAGCTACATGTATTAATCTATCTTGTTATTTCAAATGTAATATTATGGTGATAAAATCATTTGGTGACCTAGCGTCTACTATTTTTCATGTCAGTACTATGTAGGCGGTATTAACTCCAACCTCTGACTATGTGGCTATGTGCAGGCATCTTTAAAGACAGAAAGACAGAAGAAGAGAGAGATGTATTTCCCTTTGAGAAAGTATGCTATTAAGGTTTAATTATTACGGGGTATTATAATTATTACGTACCTAGTGAGTTGTTTAGCTGAACTTGGACGATGCTGCTTTGTCCCTTAATTTTTTGCATGGGTTATTGTTTTTATTTTTGTTTTGACAAGCATACAGGACCAATGGTGGAATGTGTTAGTTTTGTTTTTGCTTCCCAAGATTGTCTAGCATTTAGACTATTATTATTGGAAAATACTACCTCCGTCCCAAATTGAGTTGCAAATTTGACTTTTTTTTAGTCAAATAATCTCGTTTTGTTCACTTAATTAGGATGCCGATTTTTAATTCTATTCTAATTTGGAGTTTATAACTTTGAAGAGATTTTAATGTAGTTTTTGAATATGTAAATTTCAATTATTAAAAATTGAATTAGTTATCCATAGAGATGGTTGACTTTAATTATTGGTTGACAAAAAAATGTTGACTTTGCAAAACAAATTAGGACGGAGGGAGTATATAGTTATCATTTCTCTCTCTGTTGAATGCGTATTATCCATGCCCGTCTATGCTCTACTATAGTCATGGTCTCATGGACCAGGTTCCGGGTCGGGCCTAGGCCCGGCCGGGTTTTTGAGTTTTGGGGGAAGGCTCGGAACCGACCTGGGTTTCCACCAGGCCCGTGCCGGGTTCGGGTTGGGCTAGTTCTATGATTTCTTTTGCTTTTGTAAGTAACCCTCGACCCCCCCCCCCCCAAAACACCCATTCCAACTCAGGAAAAAACCCAAAAAACAGAAAGAAAAAAAGAGACCCGAACCGGTTCCAAAGGATGGTATGGACCGGAACTGGCCCCCTAACCCCCGGGGTCGAGCCTAGGCCTGGAACCAGAATCGGTTCACCGGGTTGTGCGGGCCGGTCCGGTTCTGGGGTTGGTCTGGCTCGGATAGATCCATGACTACTCTATTATGCCGTGAGTCTCGTGACATTTTTAGCAAGCTTTCTAAAGATGTTTTTACTTGGACTGTAATTTGCTGGTCTGGTCTGGTTTCCTTGTATTTTTATAACTATCCAAGTCTGGTCTTGTCTAGGATGAATTACAGTCCAAGTAAAAACATCTTGATTGCGTAATGCAATACCCATGCTCTGTTGATCCTTCGTTTTAAGTTCCCAACATTGTAGGTGATAAGTATCTGATACCAATACCAAATAGATAGGGACTGATCCCATTTGAATGGGGTCTGGTATTGACCCGGTTTGGTCTGATTTCGGTCTGGGTACCTGATTGGTCCTTAGGTTGGTCCTAGGCCGGGCCGAGTCATGTTTTGTTTTTTAATCCACAATCTAGATTGAGAATAATTTAAAACATTAAATACATTTGTCAAAAATCAATCGAAATTTTCGCCAGCGGTCGGGGTGATGCAAACTTCTTGAATTCTATGTCGGGCTTTCAACAAATCGTGGAAGCAAATGAGCTTTTCAAGAGATTGTGTGCTCAATTTTGTGATATAATCAGTGAGTATGTTGTTGGCTTCGCCTAATTCTTGTTCAACGGCTATGGTTGACATTGACATCGATAGCACTTGCTTTGCCATTTTCGATAAAATTAGGAACATTCCATTCTTCATATTCAACAAGAAACACTAGATATAAAGAAAGCTCGTTAATCGAGTTTTGTGCAACAGCGGAAGTTGTTTTATTTTCTTGACAAGATTTCTCCACTTCTAACATAATACAAATTGTGAATTTTTTGTTTTATTTTTGTTCCTAGGCTATTTTATTTTGAAGGTTTTGGAAAGCCATGTGACTGTAATTCTGATTTAGGAATTCATTTTTGAACAATAACAGTTTCAGCGCAAGTAAATGATGGGACATGATGACTTCGAGAAGTAAAGATTTTCTCCCTTTGTTGAGGTTTATTCCGAAAGATCCGAAAGCCCAACACAAGCCTTGGATATTGTAGGGATATTGGGTTGGGTTGAAAACTGTATAAAATATAAAACAGTGAGATATTATCCAACTCAGGAGCTTACTAGTATTCAATAATTATGCTATTACACTGGAACTACCCGGACGGTAGATGGTTATGAGAATACAAGGATAAGAGATATAAATCTATTACTAAGCTCTGAGTATCAAAATGCTAACCCTTTACAATGATCTAAACATGGGTATTTATACTAAAATGGGGATGGGTAAGGTGGACACGTGGCCGAATCTGGTAGGCTGTCACCTCTGCCATGTAAGCACTCATGCCCCCACTTGCAGCCGTCATGATCCAGCATTAAATGCGGCTTCCACTTGCTGACTGCCGTTCGGGCAAGGTGTTCGGTGTGTGGGACCCCGCCATAGGTGTTATCTTGTTATGGAAGTATCTCGAACGCCGATCGGTATCTGGGCATTGGCACTTTGGCGTAAGTGTTTCCTGGAATGTTCCAAGTAGAAAATTTATCCCGAATGCCGTTCGGGAGTTCTTTGGACTGCCTTGGGCCTGCTGCTTCTTCCCAGGTTTTGGGCCTAGGGATATTGGGCCTGGACCTAATATCCCAACACCCTTGATAGACGTTTCAAATGTTTGATTGAATAAACCTTGAGGGGATATTTTAGTTGAGTTGCATCACAAACATCATAGGTAGAAGCTTTAAATCATTTCTGTTTAGATTTCCATCACTACTCACATCACAATGATGACTTGAAGTATTAGATTGCTTGGTTGCACTAAGAGAAGCACTAGATCAGAATGAGTATTCACATGATTAGAACCATCAGAAGAAGACTTAGAAGACTTGTCTGTGGAAGAATTTAGTGACTGACTTTCAAAACTAGAATGAGTATCCTTGAAATTACTTCAAGACTTGGAGCAAAGATATTTTGAATTTTCAGAAACATTTTGAGTCTTACTGCCTCCTGAGTTTTTTTTTTTTTGAAAATCCAAGTCATCCTCTTCTCTTGGCGTTTATTAAGAATATTACATTTCGGTTTTTCAAAATATGAGTGAGAGAATGAGCCGTTTTCTTTACAAGCCTGTTGAAAAAGAGACTTTCAAAAAATGTCTTTAGAAACAGGAGATGAGATAGAGTCTTCTTTTTGTTCTTTTCAAAAGGGGAATTAACAGGAGTTTTCGAGCCTTGATAGGAGTTAATAGTTAACTCAGAAATTTTCTTTAAAAGATTCCCCTTTTCTTTTTTAAACTTTTCTCGTTCTTCTTCAAAAGAATAATGGAGATCAACCATTTTCTTGATTATTGCATGAAATATGGTTTAGAAACCTTAGAAGTAAAGGCTTCTTCCTCATTGAACACAGTTTGATTTTCAGGAGGGAAGAGGGCAAAATTAGTCATCACACAGAGAAATTTGTTTAGTATTGTAGCTATTATTGAGAGTAGTACAATCAAAACTAATTTAACCTTTAGCTCTATTTTTCCTTTTGTACTCTTCTTCCTCAATAGTTTGAGAAGCACGAGTGAAATGCATTAAATGGGCTAAATACCAAGTCTGATATCTGCGATTTAGCGTTTTTAGCGCAAATAGAGTATTTTTAGCGTAAATACATTTGGGATTTGAAATTCGGTTCATTAGGTAGTCTTCTCGTAATATTTTGAATTCAAAGCCTGAAGACAAGTTTTAGAACTCAATAAGATCTTTCCAACGAGACAAAAAAACACTTTAAACAGAACTAAATACAGTAATATATGAACAAATCAAATTCTACACGTGTTCATAGTGAAATAAAAGATATTTGTGAATTTCAAGTTAATCTGTATCTTATACTTAATGCATTGTGAATTGAGTCGAAACAATAGCTTTAGAACTCAAAATGATCTTTCCAACGAGATATAATACGCTTGAAACGAAAGAACATACAACAAGATATGAGTGTTACAAAATACTAAGCCTGGTCTCTGTGATTTAGTGTTTTCACCATAAATAGATAATTTTTAGCGTAAACACAGTTTGAGATTTGAATTTCGGTTCATTAAGTAGTCTTCCCGTAATATTTTGAAACTGACGCCTGGAGACGAGTTTTAGAACTCGATAAGATATTTCCAACGAGATAGAAAACGTTTTAAACAAAACTAAATACATCAAGATATGATCAGATCAATTTTTACACATAATCTGAGTGAAATGGGAAATGTTTGTAAATTTCAAGTTAATGTGTACCTTATACTCAATGCATTGTAAATTGAGTTGTAAAAATGGCTTCAGAACTCAAAATGATATTTCCAATGGGATATAATACACTTGGAACGGAAGAACATACAATAAGATATGAGTGTCACGAACACTAAGATAATCTATGTGATTTAGCGTTTTCAGCGTAAACAGAGCTTTTTAGCGTAAAAACAGTCTGAGATTTAAAAATCCGGTTCATTAGGTAGTCTTCTCATAATATTTTGAAACCGAATCCTAAAGACGAGTTTTAGAACTCGAAAAGATCTTTCCAACGAGATAGAAAACGCTTTAAACGAAACTAAATACAACAAGATATGATCAAATCAATTTCTACACGTGTTTGGAGTGAAATCGGAAATGTTTGTGAATTTCAGGTTAATCTGTACCTTATACTCAATGCATTATAAATGGATTCGGAACAATAGCTTTAGAACTCAAAATGATCTTTCCAACGAGATATAATACGCTTGAAATGGAAAAATATACAGCATGATATGAGTGTCACAAATGCTAAGCCTGCTATATGTGATTTAACATTTCTAGCGTAAATAGAGAATTTTTAGCATAAAACAGTCTGGAATTTGAAATTCGGTTCATCAGGCAGTCTTTCCATAATATTTTGAAACCGATGACTGAAGATGAGTTTTAGAACAGAATAAGATCTTTCTAACGAGATAAAAGCGTTTTAAACATAACTAAATACAACAAGATATGACCAGATCAATTTATACATGTGTTCGGGGTGAATTTGGAAATGTTAGTGAATTTCAAGTTAATTTGTACCTTAAACTTAATGCATTGTAAATTGAGCCGGAACAATAGTTTTAGAACTCAAAATGATGTTTCAAATGAGATAAAATACGTTTGAAACGGAAGAACATACATCAAGATATGAGTGACACAAATACTAAGCTTGACCTCTGTTATTTAGCGTTTTCAGCGTAAATAGATCATTTTTAGCGTAAATACAATTTGAGTTTTGAAATTTGCTTCATTAGGCAGTCTTCCCTTAATATTTTGAAATCGACGCCTGAAGACAAGTTTTAGAATCTAATAGGATATTTCCAAGGAGATATAAAACGCTTTAAACGGAATCAAATACAACAAGATATGGTCAGTTCAATTTCTACACGTGGTCGGAGTGAAATCGGAAATGTATGTGAATTTAAGAACAATCTGTACATTATACTCAATGCATTGTAAATTGAGTCGGAACAATAGCTTTATAACTCAAAAAAATCTTTCTAATGAGATATAATACGCTTGAAACGGAAGAACATACAGCAAGATATGAGTGCCACAAATACTAAGCATGAGCTCTGTGATTTAGCGTTTTCAGCGTAAATAGAGCATTTTTAGCGTAAATACAATCTGTGATTTGAAATTCGGTTCACTAGGTAGTCTTCCCGTGATATTTTGAAACTGACGCCTGATGGTGTGAATTTCCTATTATGTATGTTTGTATTTTTAACTAATTTTATTAGTTCTAGTTGTGAAAATTACACACTTTTGGTGTAATACTTTATTTTCATTAATTATTTGTAATTTATTTAGATTAGGATTATTCTGAGCTTAGGACAAGTCAAAATCATCCCAAAAATCAAAGGATGGATCCTAAAGACCAAAGAATGTGCAAAAAGGA